TACAGTGTTTCCAACTTCAACTTGATATCTAGGATCAAAGAAACTTAATCACATTAGTCCAAATCAGTATCTTAACTAAACACAAAAAAATAAATATGGTTAACATTTTAATTATAGTAATTACACACAAAAACAGAAAATTATAGTAGAATGTAAAAATTAAATATGATTAACAAATTAATTATTATAAAATATATTTGTAAAAACTTTAAAATTATGTTTTGTCTATAAATTGATTAACAAGTTTTTACTTCATATAGTAGAATATAAAAATTATATTTTATTAATTTTATTTACATACATATGTAAAAAACTTAAAAATTATGAAATATTACAATTATATGGAAAAACCGTCATTTTAAATCTTCAACTTTCAAATTTTGGTCGTTTAAGCCCTCAACTCTCATAACGCATAATAAACAACAAACTTCTTAGGATGACCACGTTTTAAATCCTAGAATTATGCTGATTCGACTAAATTAGTTACATCCTTATCTCGACTAACAGATTGATTTAATCCCGTTAATTCTCTGTAAACTTGTTGTTAAGACAATACAACATCAGGTCTGAAAATCATAAAATCCCCAATTCGACTTATAAATCCCTAACTCTATCTCTCTCTCTCTCTCGCGATTCCTTCGATTCAACTTTCCTTCTCTCTCGATTGATACTCAAATTAATTCTCCTCTTTCAATTCGAAATCTCCATTTGCTTTTGTCGATTTCTCCTTCTGTGGAATCATGCTGAAATCAAAACGGAAGAGGGCAAAGCGTTCCAAACGTTGAACATCTTAACCTGAAGTTGCAACTGACCTTGGAGGCAAAGGCAATGATTTTGGCAACAGGGTTGTTGGTGATGATGATTTCTGTGACAAGGTTGTTGGTGATGATGATTTCGATGAGGTTAATGATGTAGCGGGTGATGGAGACGGCCATGGGCTTGTAGAAGAAGGTTGTCAAGACTTAGTAGTACATTTTAGAGAAGCTGCGAGAGATGAGGAAGTTGGGAGTGATGCGGAGAGTGGAGATGATATTTGGAATGATGAGAGGATTCCAGATCATTTGTCATCAGATTCTGAGGACATCGACAACGACGAGGGCAATGAAGAGGAAAGGCATAGAGAGCCTAAAGATCCTGAAGACCTGCTAGTATTGGGGAAAACTTATAATTCCCCTGAAGATTTCGAGATTGCTGTCCTAAGGTATTCTCTCAAACCCAATATGACATCAAGCTGTACAAGTCACAATCTATGAAGATTGGTGCAAAGTGTGCTGACACTAAGGTTGATTGTCCATGGCATGTATATTACTCTTATGAGAGGAGGCGGCATAAGATGCAAATTAAGGTGTATGTAAATGAGCAGATATGTGTTCGATCGGGTTATTCAAAGATGTTGAAGCGATCTACAATAGCTTTGTTGTTTTCAAAAAGATTGAGAGTGAATCTGAAGATCACAAAACAAGAGATGGCTACTGAGATCAAGAGAGAATACAATTTGGTTGTAACCGATGATCAATGTGAGAAGCTCAAGTCAAAAATTATGAGAGAAAAGAAAGCTAGTCATGAAGCTCATTTCACACGAGTATGGTATTATCAAGCCGAGATTTTTGAGTCAAATGCACACACCAAGTTCGAGATTGAGACGATTCCAGGGCCTACAATAGTGAGCAAACAAAGGTTTTATAGGTGTTATGTCTGTTTTCATTCACAAAGAGAGTCTTGAATGAAAACATATAGGCCGATCATAGGGATTGATGGTGCAATTCTGAAATGGGATATTAAGGGTCATCTTTTAGCTGCAGTTGGAAGAGATGGAGATAATAGAATAGTGCCAATAGCTTGGGCAGTTGTCAAAGTAGAGCGTGATATGAAATGGGAATGGTTTGTTAAGCATCTATGTGGAAGTTTGGATCTTGGCGAAGGAAGAGATGTTGCAATCATATCAGATAAACATAAGGTTCGAATCTTGCCTTGTTTCATAGTTGTCTCACATTTTTATCGCTCACAATTTAATAGTTATCTCATGTTTTGGTCTTGTTTTATGCAGAGTATTGTTAATGCCGTGAGGAACATTCTTCCACAAGCTGAGCATAGACAGTGTGCTGGACACATTATGGAGAATTGGAAGAGAGAGAATCATGACATGGAGCTTCAAAGGCTGTTCTGGAAAATAGCACATAGCTACACAACAGCAGAATATAGAGATCATATGGATGCATTGTCGATGTACAAGCCTCATGCATTTGCCTCTCTTGAGCAGACTAATCCTCCATCTTAGTCTAGGGCTTTCTTCAGGATTGGTTCTTTTTGCAATGATGTGTTGAACAATCTGAGTGAGTCTTTCAATAGAACCATTCGTCAAGAAAAAAAAAACCTTTACTAGAGTTGTTAGAGGATATTAGGCGGCAGTGTATGGTGCGTAATTAAAAGAGGTCTATTATTGCGCATAGTTTGAAGAAACAATTCACATCGAGAGCTCATGCTGAACTAGAGAAGATGATTGTAGGAGCACAACATTACATCAGACATATGGCGAGGAATGATTTACATGAAGTTGAGTTGAATGGTGTTGGCTATCGTGTGGATACAAACACGATGACATGTGGTTGCAGGAAGTGGCAAATGATTGGTATCCCATGCGCTTATGCCACACATGTGATCATAGCAAAGAAAAGAAAGGTTGAAGACTTCGTCAATGACTGACTTCTACACTCCAAGGCATGAAGTTATGGCCTAAGTTAAATAGGTTAGCTGTTTTGCCACCACCATGGAGAAAGGGTAAGCCTGGTAGACCAAGCAACTATACTACGAGGAAAGGAATGAATGAAACTGCTTCTTCAAGCAATACCAAACTATTGCGTGCTTGCCGAGTCATGACATGCTCAAGCTTCTTGAAAAAGGAACACAACAACCAAGGTTGTGAAAATCCGACTGTTGTGCCTCCAGAAAAAAAACCAAGAGGTCGGCCAAGAAAATATCAGGGTTGATTTAGTTTTGTATCAGATTTAGTTTTTTAGTTTAGTTTTAAGTTTTTAAGGCTTTAGTTTAGCTTTAAGGTTTTAAGATATTGCCTCTGCTTTAGTTTTTTTTTGTGTCAACTTTAGTTTAAGGTTTGAAGGTATTGTCTCTGCTTTAGATTTGAATTCGGTTTTAAGGTTTTGTATTATGTTGGCTTTAGTTTAGTTTTAAGGTTTTGTATTATATTGTGTCGGCTTTAGCTTTGAATTCGATTTTAATATTTTGTAACAATAATGTTAAACTCATGAACCAGATAGAAGAGATAGAAAGAGTTTCACAGCCACAAGTTTCACAATCACAAGGAATTTCAGAAGCACAAGCACAAGGAGAACCACAAAGACAAAGAGGATCATAAAGACAAGGATCACAAGCACAAGGAGGATCACAACCACAAGGTCACGGATCACAAGCACAAAGAGGATCTGAAGGTGAAGGATCACAGCCCCAAGGATCTCAAGGTTGGCAATCATGGTTTCAGTGTTCAAGTTAAAGTGAAGGTGAAGGATCAGGGTTTTATTGTTTTTCATTCGGATATGAACATGTTTTGTTGGTGTTCTTTTGTTCTCATTTGAACTTGTATGTTTCAGATGAGATTATGGTTTAGTTTTGTATTGGATTTGTAAACATGATCATTGTTTTGTTGGTATTTTGCTAAAAAGCTTTTGCTTTTGTTGGTATTTTATATCAGCCACAAGTTTTAACCTCATTTAAACCACCAACATATAATATAATCTCATCTCAATCACCAAATTGTAATACATTCCCAACACATACAAATGTAACTCTGACAAGATGCATTTCATTCATTGCAAAAATATGAGTTAACACAACAAAAGACAAAGTTATGTAATACATTCCCAACACATATAAATGCAACCACAAATCCGAACTCGAATGGAACTCATACAACACATAAACTACATCTACCAAAGTAATACAAATTATACTTCTCACACTAATAACTAACAACAAGTTTGGTTTCCTTTGCTTTACTAACCATTATGCAAACAATGACAATGACAATGGTCATGAAGCAAAGACACACAAAGCACAATGTGTTCATCGCTTTGCATTTCTTTATTTCCATTTTGCTCGAAAATTTCTCCTCTGCTAATCCTGCAATGACAACGTTTAAATCTACATTTCGTATTGCAAATCTCAGTTTCAATCCTTCCTAATTTTAGTAAACCATCTTCAACCTCTTCAAATACAGCATCCTCAACCCACTTAAACAAATGCTCCTATTTCAGAATAAAAATAAAATGTCCATTATTTCTCTCGGTTTCAGTTCATGAGCTTACATCTAAAAGCATAAATAACAAAGAAAATGTCAAAAACTTACATCTATTTTGTTTGTGTGAAGGTTGACAGCTCTTTTTCCTACACAGCGGTAGAATGGTCGTCCAGGATTCTCTTGTGTCTTAGATGTTAAAATGATTACATCTAATCCACAAACACATTTCAAAGGAAAGCCACGATTGTTTCTCACGACAGAAGATTGATTAAAATTGGAATTCATTGGAATAAGAAGACAAAGAGATCGGGCAAAAGAGATTTTGAGCCAAATTGTTTTCTCAGTGTGAATCGAAGGAATCGAGAGAGAGAGGAATCGAGAAAGAGAGATAGAGTTAGTGATTTAGAAGTCGAATTGGAGATTTTGTAGTTTTCAGACCAGGCATCGTATTGTCTTAACGACAAGTTTACAGAAAATTAATAGGGTTAAATCAATATGTTAGTCAAGATAACGATGTAACTAATTTAACCAAATCAACATAACTCTAACATTTAAAACATGGTCATCCTAAAAAGTTTGTTGTTTATTATGCGTTTTGAGAGTTGGAGGTTTAAACGACCAAAATTTGAGAATTGGAATTTAAAATGACGGTTTTCCCATTAATAATTCTAACACTTCATAATTTTTAAGTTTTTTACTTATGTATGTATATATAATTAATAAAATTCAAGTTGAAATATTATATATACATACATATGTTAAATATTTGTATTTGTAAAATCTTCAAATCTAATAATTCATTTTGAAATACTTACATCATATAATTCATTTTGAAACATTCAAAACGATTTGTAAAATCTTTATCCCGCGCAAGTTGCTTCTCATGTAAGAAATATAAATAATAGCTTTCATCTTCTAAATTTCTCAAAAGTGGAATTACTCTCCAACAAGATTTCGAGAGATGAAGTGAACCCTGGAGATCACATCTATTCATGGCGTGCTGCCTACATCTACGCCCACCACGGTTCGCTACCTCTCTCTCTCTCTTTGTCTCTACTCTAGTTTCACAGTCAATGCTCCATCGATCTTAATTTTTTTGTTGTCACTGATCGAATATCCCATATTAACGCGATTTCTGTTGCAGGAATATATGTTGACGATGGACAAGTCATAGAGTTCACTCATACTCCTAGAGATGGGACCTCTCTCCCCAAGATCAGTATATCAACAAAGCTTCCGTGTCTAATTTGCAGAGACCGTTCGAGATCCGGTGGTGTGACTTCCTCTTGCCTTGATTGCTTTCTGGCCGGAGGAAATCTATACCGCTATAAATACAATGTCTCTGGGGCTGCCTTGCTTTTCAAAGTTAGAGGTGGTACTTGCACATTAGCAGCTTCGGATCCTCTTGAAGATGTTCTTTTCCGTGCAAACTTCCTCTTATCGGAAAACGGGTTTGGTGATTATCACCTCTTCGAGAACAACTGTGAAACTTTTTCAATCTATTGTAAAACGGGCTTGGTGTCGTGCAAAAAAAATAGGTTGGGGATAAGTAGTGGTCAAGCCACTTCGTTTGCTGCAGCTGCTCTCGTTATTGCCTTACCTGGGTCCGGATTTGGTGCGTACAATGTTGCTCGTCTGATTGGTGACGTAGGCATGCCATGGCGCAGAAAGAGCGGCAATGATGTTATCAAGGTTCGTGTTGAAAAGCTCGTTGCTATGAGGAAGCCTGTTTTGAGCATTGCCGGTTGTGACTCGTGACTATATATATCGTTGAGGATTCCTATATTTATTTTTGCTTTTGTTGAATTTCCAAAATTGCTATAGTTGTTTTTTTGTTTTTTGTTGATTCGTGCTTTTGTTGAATTCTAAAATTGCTATATTTATTTTTGTTTTTGTTGATTCGTGCTTCTGTTGAAATTAAAAAATGCTATATAAATTTTTTGTTTTTAAGAATCGATCATAAGTAAAAAAAAATTATACATAGTCAACTGAAATTAAACATTTCACTCAGACCGAACCTAAAACTGAAATGCATACCCACAGTGTTAAGATCAGTAGAAAGTGAGGGCTTGAAGAAAACTGGAAAGAGTGAAAACCTCACACTCCGAAATGAAGAGATCATTTCAAGATGTCTGAAAAAAACAACTGTGAAGATTTGGCCATTTAATGCAAAACTGGAAAGTAGCGGTCAATCCAATTCTGTGTCTGCAGCACGTAGTGTTTTTTCTTTGGCCAATCAAAGAACGGTGGGTTTTTTCTGCAAAAATATGTTCTTTCTATCTTTGGCGGTTTGGTGTTATAGCATTGGTGGGTTATTGTGACTATCCTATTGTTCGTTTGAATTTCGACATTGGTGTGAGAAACGATGCTACCAAAATTCCTGTGGAAGAGCTCGAAAAAGTTAGAGCAATTATGAAAAAGTTAAGAGATATTCTGCTTCTGCTTTGTTTGTATTTTTTTTTCTTTCATATAACTATTCAGAAGTGAAAATAACATTATTATTTTCACTAGGATCTCGCCACTGATATAACAAGAGATAACATAGCGTGTATTGAAACTAAAATTACGTTGAAAAAATTTGAGTTTTAATGAAATTTTAGATGATATTATGTGGATTGTAAAAGTTGATATAATTTGATATTAAAATTATATGAAATTCCACTTAAAATAATAGAATTTTGGTTTCTATATTTTTAACTAACAAACTCCATCAAATCATTTAAAAGTACTCAATATTTTTTAAAATCTATTATTTAAAATATTTCCAATAACAGGGGATTTGATTTAGTTTTTATAAATTATTGATTGAATAACATGAATTTTTAAATAACTTTAGTTAGTTTTACATAAATTTCATATTCACTAACATCAATTTTGGTGAGACATTTAGAAATCATTAATTCAATTACAAAGATTTTTAAAACAACTACCAAATCTTCTAAAATTCTTAATCCAATACATCCCCCAACAGTTACAGGGGTTAAACGATAGTCATAGCATAGTTTTTGTTTGTTTTATCTTTGTGGTTTAAACATAAATATATATATAATTATTGTTAGATAGAAAATGAACACATTTTTTAAAAGAATTTTTTTAACAATAACATAGTCTGTCAAGATAAGAAGAATCGCACTGGCCTAATAAATAAAAGGACACTATCTCAGAATAGTGGGAAATCTCCATTAAGTCATAGAAAAATGATATTTTCATGGTAAATATCCCTAAAGTATAAAGGAAAAAGATTTCGATGGAACCAAACTCCATGAATCTTATAAACATAGGATTTTGAACAGCTTGATGATACAATCTGAAATCCCGAGTGAGCAGAAGAAAAATACCTAAAAATTCCAAACTTTCTAGTTTATATTCAAAAAGTTCTTATTCACCTCGGCAAAACTTTTTAAGTCAAGTTATCTTTGTAAATGTCCAAACTTTTAAGTTTTTAATAAAAATTATTCTCTAAAATCCACAACTAATTATTATTTATTATATTAAATGATATTCTTATTAACCCACAACTGTTTATTATTTATTATATTAAGTGATATTCAACGACTATTCTTATAGCCATCTCTTTTTTGTTCCAAAATAAATAAATAAAAAACTCAGGAAGATGAATTTGTCAAAGTCAGCTTCCTTAGACATCTTTTTAAAACACAAATTAAAGCCAACGTGGATTTTATTAAAGTCAGCTGCGTTGGACATCTTTTTAAAACACGAGTGTTTTCTTTTCAAAACACAAGTGTTGGTTTTTCAAAACACAAGTGTTTGTTTTCAAAAACACTGTGTTTTTTTTTTTCAAAAAACAAGTTGAAGCAAAATGAAAGAAAGACTGCCAAAAGGCCCAAAATAATCGATGTATTAATTATATAAACACCCCTAAGAATGTAAATTTTAGTGAAATGTTTAGGTTTTACAAATCAGAAAAGACCAAAATGTAACACCTATTTAAAATGGTTCCGTGGCAAAAAAAAGGGTAAACAACATGAAAACATAAGATAATCGATACTTTGTCGAGTCCTCTTCCGAAGACGATTAAGTAGCGATACAACGCTTGAGAGCAAGTCATGAAGTAGAAACTAGAAACCCAAGCTTGAGTCGATGGAGGAAAAGCAACTTGAAAAGATGGAGACTCGATCACTAAACAAAAGAAAGCTGTTTCATTGGATGCCCGAGCTCCCTAAACGGGCTCAAAAAGAGTGAAATCGGTCCACTTAAAAGAATATAATCCCTCGGATTGATGAAGATATCGCAATTAATGATGATGACAGCAAAAATCGGATCGGATCAAGAATTAAATGATAATCGATAGCCAATTGAGATCGGATCAACAGAGGAAAAGGAAAGTTTCCTTCCCTTACCCGATCCCAGGAGATTGAGCAATAAAGGCGGAGTTGGGAGAGTATAAAAGGGGGAGGTCTATATTTCGAGAAGGGATCGCTTTTTACTCTCAGAAAGCATACAGCAAGCACAGCAATTCCCCCTTGTTCTCTTATTTTTCCAGTTAAATGGATCCGCGTCTAAACCGATCTCTTGTACCTTCTGGCTCTAATCTATCAATAAAAAAACTTTCTTTTCACCCATAAATTCTTTGTTATTCTTTTAAAATGTGACTTGAATTCTTATAATTAGAGCCGTCTGTAGGAAAAAGGAAACAACTTTCTTTCACGGAAACTATGAGCCCGGAAATGTCAGGAATGCCACCAACCGACGACATAAACCAGGGAGATCCGAACGAAAGACAGGAAAATCCCGATCTGGGCAAGCCGATCTCACCTGCAGGGATGGAAGTGTTGAGAAGTAAACTTGATTTTGGATCAAGCTTAAATATTGGGTTAATGATCTAATAATAATTGGGCCAAAACCCAATTATGCTTAATCAAAGATTCTAGAGTTTTCTCTAGAAAAATCAACACTTCCACTTCCTTAAAATGTTCTAGAGAGTTATAGAGAATAAATATCTAGAGATTTCTCTAGATAATTGTTGTAAAATAATTTAGATATTAAGATAGAATTCTCTAGATTTAGGAATAAAATATTTTAGATATTTTGTATTTTGGAAGTTATAAATAGCTATCTCCTCTCTCATTTTGTAACTAACAAGCTAAAATAAATAATAAGGTAAGTTAAGTGAAGTTCCTAAGTTCTCTAAGTTATAAAACTTTCTTCTTCTTAAATTTGTTCCTTTGTCTTTCAAATTCTTAAACACCCTCTCCATCACTCTTAAAAGTTCATACTTTCCAACAAAGTGGTAGCAGAGCTAGAAGATTCTCTTAAAGATGGCAAGTAATGGCGTTCCCTTCCAAGTTCCAATGCTCACTAAGAGCAACTACGACAACTGGAGTCAATCACATGACGTGTGGGAGATTGTCCAAAAAGGCTACATTGAACCGGAGAATGAAGGTAGTCTTTCTCAAACTCAAAAGGACAGTTTGAGAGACTCAAGGAAGAGAGACAAGAAGGCTCTCTGTCTCATCTATCAAGGATTAGATGAAGACACATTCGAGAAGGTTGCCGGAGCAAAGATGGCCAAAGAAGCATGGGAGAAGCTTCGAACTTCTTACAAGGAAGCAGAGCAAGTCAAGAAAGTACGTCTTCAAACTCTAAGAGGAGAATTTGAAGCATTACAAATGAAGGAAGGTGAACTTGTCCAAGATTACTTCTCAAGAGTTCTAGCGGTTACTAATAACCTAAAGAGGAATGGGGAGAAGCTAGATGAAGTAAGAATCATGGAGAAGGTTCTTAGATCGTTGGATTCAAAATTTGAGCATATTGTCACTGTCATTGAAGAGACGAAAGATTTGGAGGATATGACAATGGAGCAACTACTAGGATCACTACAAGCCTATGAAGAAAAGAAGAAGAAGAAGGAAGACCTTGCAGAACAAGTACTCAAGATGCAAATTGATCAAACCAAAGATGGAAGCGGCCGAAGTCATCCAAGAAGAGGTGGCAGTCAAGGACGAGGAAGAGGTTGTGGTTATGGAAATGGACGTGGCTGGAGGTACTATGAAGACAAGACTAACCAAAGAGGAGAAAGCTCATCAAGAGGACGTGGGAGAGGAACTCCAAAATCAAGGTACGACAAATCAAACGTCAAATGCTATAATTGTGGGAAGTTTGGCCATTATGCTTCAGAATGCAAAGCTCCAAACAACAATAGAGTTGAAGAGAAGTTCAACTATGCTGAAGAAAGAAGCCAAGAAGAAGATATGTTATTAATGGCGTACAAGAAGGATGAAAGAGATGATTTCCATAAGTGGTACCTTGACAGCGGTGCAAGCAATCACATATGCGGGAAAAGAAGCATGTTCGTGGAGCTCGATGAATCAGTGAAAGGAGACGTGGCCTTAGGAGATGAATCAAAGATGGAGGTGAAAGGTAAAGGAAAAATTCTCATCCGAATGAAGAATGGAGATCATCAATTCATCTCCAATGTTTACTATATTCCAAGTATGAAGACCAACATCTTGAGTCTTGGACAACTTTTAGAGAAAGGTTATGATATTCGACTAAAGGATAATAGCCTTTCTATAAGAGATCAAACTAACAATCTCATCACCAAGGTGCCGATGTCGAAGAATAGAATGTTTGTTCTTAACATTCAAAATGACATCGCAAAATGTCTCAAAATGTGCTACAAGGAGGAGTCTTGGCTTTGGCATCTTCGTTATGGACATCTCAACTTTGGAGGCTTGGAGCTACTCTCTAAGAAAGAAATGGTGAGAGGATTGCCCTGCATCAATCATCCAAATCAGGTGTGTGATGGGTGCCTACTTGGAAAGCAATTCAAAATGAGCTTTCCAAAGGAGTCAGAGACAAGAGCACGGAAGCCATTGGAGCTCATACATACAGATGTTTGTGGCCCAATTAAACCAAGATCACTCGGTAAGAGTAACTACTTCCTTCTCTTTATTGATGACTTTTCAAGAAAAACATGGGTTTACTTTTTGAAAGAAAAATCAG